AGAAGAATGGAAAACTGCTTTCCTCACCACTATGGGGCACTATGAATATCAGGTCATGCCTTATGAACTTGCTAACTCACCTGCTGTCTTTCAATGCTTCATTAATGAAATCTTCAGAGACCTGCTCAACCAGTGTGTAGTAGCCTACATTGATGATATCTTGATTTACTCTAGATTTGAAGGGGAACACATCAACCACGTCAGAATTGTTCTCACTAGATTATTGGAGAACCAACTATGTCAAGGCTGAAAAATGTGAATTCCATGTAAGACAGATGACTTTCCTGGGCTACCATATTAGTCACGAGGGAGTAAAGATGGACGAGACTAAAGTAAAGGCAGTCACTGAATGGCCACAACCAATCACGTTACAGGAACTTCAGTGATTCCTGGGCTTTGCTAATTTCTATAGACGTTTCATCCGAAATTACAGCATGGTTTCCTCCCCTTTCACATCTCTCCTGAAGGGCAAGCCCTCAAAACTAAGATGGACGGAAGAGGCTAACAATGCTTTTAATACCCTGAAGGAAAGATTCACCACAGCACCCATCTTGAAAAATCCTGACCCCAATCTTCCATTCATGGTCGAGGTAGAGGTATTCCAATTGTGGAATCGGAGCCGTACTCTCCCAACGTCATGGCCAACCAGGCAGGCTGTTTCCATGTGCATTTTTCTCACGAAAGCTAACAGCAGCTGAACGTAATTATGACGTGGGAAACAAGGAACTTCTCTCCATGAACGCAACCATCGAGGAACGGAGACCCTGGCTAGAGGGAGCAGTTCATCCTTTTCAAGTCATTACTGATCATAAGAACCTTGAATATATAAGAAGTGTCAAACGTCTCAACCCACGCCAAGTTCGATGGTCCTTATTTTTCACCCGTTTCCAATTTATAGTCACATAGAGACCGGGCAGTAAGAACAGCAAGGCCGATGCATTGTCCAGATGCTTGTATGATCCCCCTACTGAAAATCTCACACCAGAACCCATTCTTCCTCCTTCCGTCATCATTGCTCCAGTTACCTGGGACATCATGGAGGAATTACAGCGAGAACAACAACTCGACCCGACACCTAATAACTGCCCCCCAAACAAGCAGTATGTGCCTCACAACCTATGACAACGAATCATGCAATGGGCCCACACCTTCATAGGTACGGGCCACCCAGGGATATCTCGCACTCTTCGTTTGATCCAAAATTAATTCTGGTGGTCTTCTATGACCAGAGACATTACTACATATGTGAAGTCATGTCAAGTCTGTGCCCAGTCCAAAACCCCTAAAGAACTACCATCTGGCCTCCTCCAACCACTACCTATCCCACAACGCCCTTGGTCCCATCTCTCCATTGACTTCGTAACTGATCTGCCTCCTTCTAATGGTTACACTACCATTCTCGCCATTATCGACCGTTTCTACAAATCCTTTCTACCATTGAAAGGACTCCCCACTGCTATGGAGACAGCTCAAGCACTGTTCCACCAGGTCTTCCATGTATATGGACTTCCAGAGGATATAGTCAGTGATCGGGGCTCCCAATTCACTTCCCAGGTCTGGAAGGCTTTCTGCAAGCATCTGGATGTCAACGTTAGCCTAACTTCAGGTTATCACCCTCAATCGAACGGCCAAGTTGAGCGATTAAACCAGGAAATCGGCCGATACTTACGGACCTACTGCAGTCGAGAGCAACATCGTTGGTCTGAGTTCCTACCCTGGGCGGAATATGCCCAAAACTCTCTCACTCACACATCCACAGGCCTAACCCCCTTCCAGTGCGTCCTTGGGTTTCAACCTCCCTTGTTCCCGTGGTCCGGGGAACCCTCCTCAGTCCCGGCGGTGGAATCCTGGGGTTTCAACCTCCCTTGTTCCCATGGTCTGGTGAACCTTCCTCAGTCCCGGCGGTTGACAAATGGATTCGTCATAGTGAGAGGGTGTGGGACAGCGCACATGTCCGCCTCCAGCGAGCTGTGAGAACATAGGAATTACAGGCCAACAGGCGATGTCGCCCACATCCTCCTTACCAACCAGGACAGCGGGTCTGGCTCTCAACGAGGGACCTCAAGCTGCGGCTGCCCAGCAGGAAGCTCAGTCCAAGGTATGTTGGCCCTTTTAAAATTCTCAGAAGAATAAATGAGGTCACTTACCAACTAGAGCTTACTGATAATTATCATATTTCTCCCTCCTTTCATGTTTCTCTCCTCAAACTGGTCCACTTGGATGCTGCCCCCGGAGCCAAGGTCCGAGAGCCACCACCACCATTGGACATTGATGAGACTCCCGCTTATAAGGTGAACGTGTTACTGGACTCACGTAGGAGAGGGGGTCAGCTCCAGTATCTGGTGGACTGGGAGGGCTATGGGCCTGAGGAGAGGTCATGGATCCAGAATGTCACCGGCGGCGACCCATCTCTCATCGAGGAGTTTCATCGAGCCAGAACCGATCGTCCAGCACCATGACCACGGGGACGCCCACGTCGAGCTCCAGGAGGCACTCATAGAGGGGGGGGTTCATTGCGAAGTATTGCCAGTTAACCTGCCTTACCAAGCGTGTTTTCTGTATATTCTGACTGGCTGTTCCGTGTATGATTTTGCCTGTTTACCTGCCTAACGATTACCTGGATTATGCCCCTTGCTTAGTTTGCCTGATTGGACGGATGTATGTGTTTGGACCTTTTGCCTGCCTGCTCACTTTAGCCCTCTGGATTCCCCTGTAAGTGTTGTTACATTGGACTGTTATTCTGGTTTCGACCCTCTGCCTGCCTTGACGTTCCTGTTTACTGAAATTGTTCTCAAGAAACTCCCGCAGATGGATTCAGACTCGGCCTCAGCATCCTCTTTACACTGACTTGCATTTACATTTAGTCATTTAGCAGACACTTCTATCCAAAGCGACTAACAAATGAGGACAATAGAAGCAATCAAAACCATAATAGAGCGCTTCAGTTTACAGGTGATCATCTTTAGCTCAGTGCACGCAGCACAAACAGCAGCGCACAACATTAATAACTATGATTGGGACTGTCATATATATTATATTATAATGAGAACACTATTATAATAAAACATTGTGAATTATTTGGTTTTAGTTGAAGTGTTTCAGCGCGTTGTTACGGGAAGAGGGCATCCACAACAGCATCACACATTCTGACTAGCACTTAGTTTAAGATCACGTGCATTTGCATATTTTTGTGCATAAAGAAATGGTAATATTATGTTAATGTTGTATAAATATTTGATTTTCATATAGCCTAATTAACCTGCTAACAAAGTGATTCAGTTTACCGGTCAAGTCACCTTTATTTATATAGCGCTTTAACAATACAGATTGTGTCAAAGCAACTCTACAGCATTAATTAAGAAAATAGTGTCAATAATACAAAATGACAATAGTAAACACTCATTTTTCAGTTAAAGACAGTTCATCATTGAATTCAGTGATGTCATCATCCAGCTCAGTTCAGTTTAAATAGTGTCTGTGCAATCAAGTCGATGATATCGCTGGATATTAAGTGTCCCTAACTAAGCAAGCCAGAGGAAGCAAAACTCCATCGGTGACAGAATGGAGAAAAAACCTTGGGAGAAACCAGGCTCAGTCGGGGGGCCAGTTCTCCTTCACATTGTGCAGATGACTCAGCTGGTTCCTGTGGTCTTGTCCCGGTGGCTGTCTAGGAGACAAGGTCTTCACTGGGGATCTGTCTCTGGGGCTCGTTGTCCTGATCTCCGCTGACATTCAGGACATACATTGTAGAGGTCCTCTCTAGGTGCTGATCCACCATCTGGACTGGATCTGGGTGACTGCAGTGACCATCTGATCTGGATACAGACTGGATCTGGTGGCTACGGTGACCTCGGAATAAGAAAGAAACAGACTAATATTAGCGTAGATGATAGTGATGATAGTGTGTTTATCTGTATGCCAGGTTAAAGAGATGGGTCTAAATGGGTGAGATGGATGTTCAACAGTAATATTAATTGAAGATGTTTCTTTTTCAGAATCATTGTTGCATTATTAATAATAACCACTTTTATTTTTATCTTACTTTCATCAACAATATGGTTTAATTAAAATAATTGCATTAGTGTCCGTGCCGAGGCTATTCTGATTCATTTATCCATGACACGTGCATTTTGATTCTTCACACATAAGTAATGTTGTCCAGTGGCTTGTTTGCATTATTTAAGCATTATTTTATTTATTTGTTAGGCATTTATTTTTGATAAAGACAGTTGGTAATAATAGTGTAAAATTAATTTTAAAACTTACACTTTAGTTCTATCTAGGTTGCTGTACTGCTTATGTTTAATTTATGTTGTAGTGTTTATGGATGGATTTGAACTTGGATTTTAATGGTGAGACTTGTTTTTTTTATGTCAAAAATTATATAAAACTTTTGGATTTAGATTTATCGGTCAACATATCGGTTATTGGCTTTAAAATAAAAATAATTATTGGTTATCGTATTGGCCTAAAATTTTCATCTTGATAAGAAAATGCACACATCCGTATTATGCCACCAGCCCATTTCATGTTTTGGTTTCCCAGCCACCACAGAGGATGTGTTAAATTGGACATTAGGCCTTGATATTAGAGGTACTACCATAAGGAAAGCCAAATTCTGAACAAGCAGATCTCTATTAATTCGTGTGCATCCATGCTATCGTTTTATTCATGGTAAAATGGCATTGATGCCCAAAGGAAATAGGTTATATAAAACTAGAAATTGTAATGCATATGCATGCAAAAAAAATTCCCATGCGCATGTGAATAGTTTCTTGAGGGCACAAAAAAGTTTCTTGTGTGCATCTCATTGTGTTTACCAGCTAATTGCTCCCAGCTATAGTCACCTGCAGAAAAAAAAACATTCCCCCTAAAAAAAAAATAGGCAGACTGTTGTTTTTTTTTCTTTAAGAGATCAAAACCATGCGTACACTTCAAATCAAGAACAGCATTCAATTTACTTTGGTTATGCTGTTTTAGGCAAAATTCACATGAATACTAAGGGGTTAAGTGTCCCCAACTAAGCAAGCCAGAGGCAACAAAGAACCAAAACTCCATCAGTGACAGAATAAAGAAAAAACCTTGGGAGAAATCAGGCTCAGTCGGGGGGGCCAGTTCTCCTCTGACCAGATGAAACCAGCATGATGTGGTTTAATTCCAAGCTGCAGCACAAGTCAGATTGTGAATGGCATCACTCAGAACATCCATCCAGTTCCTTCTGCTTTTAGATTGGGATACATGTATTTGTATTTGCTGATGATCTGCAGTTGTTATTGAGATGAAACTGACTGATAATCTGATTCCTGTGTTTTCAGCTCCTCCAGATGTTTATGTGTTTGCGAGGAAATCTACCAAAGACAAATCCAAGCTGAAACTCACCTGTTTGGCCACTGGCTTTTACCCCAGAGATGTGATGATGAACTTAAGAAAATATCGCACATCTCTGCCTGAAAATGATACTGAATCCACAGGAATCAGATCAAACCATGATGAAACATCCCAGATGAGAAAGAGTGTGGAGATTAAGAAGGATGAAGAAGCTGAATATGATTGTTTTGTGAACCACATAACCTTCAAAGAACCAATCATCAGAAAATGGGGTAATTAAAGCAGTTAAACAGAGTGGGATGTGGGAATCTCGACTGCATAATTTATGGTAGTGGGGGACTGTGTTCGCGCTCTCCTATGGATGTACTGTGTAGCGAATCAGCTCATGGGGAAATATGAATAATAAATCATAACTAGTTATAATTAATTATACATATTTAGATCCGCTGTAGATATTTACTTGACCTCTCAGGGTCAACTGTCCTTTCAATTCTAAGAACGTTACTTTCCTGGTTAAGGGAAATAACTTTCTTACTGTACAACGCTACACAAAGCTTGTAGCATAAATCTTGCATAATAAGGGACTCCGGTTATGAGCAAACAATGAACAACGTCAAGTGTGATACAAGTAAGGCTTTATTAACTACATAAACACTTAAACTAGTCTAAACATACTACATAAACACTAAAACTGGTCTATCGTACACACACACACACACACACATACAGTTGGTTTAGGAAAGGGTTACCGCTTAACGCAGTGAAGAGAGAAAATAAGAATATGAAGTTATGGAACCATTTGCATATTCAGCAGATCTACCGCCTGAAGGAAACATCAGATTCGTAATCTGAAGGTTCCAGTTGCTCTTTGCTGAAGTTGGTTGATGAAAAGGAACCAGTTTTGCATCAGATAATCTTGGTGAATGACAAAGTCAGGGCCGAAGCCCGGCACATGCTTAGAGTTTCCTGGAGCATTGCAGCTCACCTTTTCATCTTAGCATCTCGACCGAACCACCGACTCTGGGCGGGTCACATGGTGTGTCGACTTTAAGGCCAGAGAAGATTCACGCCTCTCAAGATGGGCTTGTCCAATGAGAAAGGCCGGTATCCCAAGTGTTACATGAATGAGTGGTTCTATCATAAGCATGCATAAAATAGTCTACAATGCAACAGACAATATACAAGACAGCAGTAATATACACAATGACCTGAAGAATATGTGTGTTCATTCAAGGAAAGGTTTTCCTATGAATTAGTAGAAAAGTCCATTTCTACTTGTGCATTGTGCCTCTTTCTATGGGACAGGCAGTGAGAGTTATTCTACTCACATTCCTGGGGGGTCATAAAACCAGTGATATCAGCATTCGTTGTCATGGGGACCAGGGGGCCTGGTGTCGTTGCAGACATCCTGGCATCCAGTTTATTGGGTGAGGGGACTGTGACGATTTGTTAATCTAATGAATAATTGATTTGTTATATCAAATAAAAATTGGTGTGTCAGATTGGTCGAGACGCTACAACTGGTTCAGGGGCAGCAAAAATGGCTGCCCAATGCTCCTGGTGTGTGTTCACTTGGATGGGTTAAATGCAGAGCACAAATTCAGAGTATGCACCATACTTGGCCACATGTCACGTCACTTTCCTTTCCTTTTCTTTTTCCATAGACAGAAACATCACTTGATAATAATAATAATAATTATTATTAATATTTTTTAAACTGTTAACTTCAATTTCCCTCTTTTTTGCTTATATCATTAATTACTTAATTCTAGTTTTATATTTTTGTGTTTGTATAGATGGTAAATGCCAGGATTGCTCATCAGAGACTGTTGCAGGTTGGATTGGAGCTGTGATTGTGCTGACAGTTGTTGTTACAGTGGTTTGCATCTTAATGAAGAAAGAGATTATTGGTGAGTAGTGACTGATTAATGATGATCCACACATTCAACTCATTCTTGTTTTTAGTTTTGTGTAAAAAAAAGAAGAAAAAATCACTCAAAAGTCTGGTTTTGAGTTCCACTGGAAAAGCAGCATACAGGTCAGTGTTGCCAACTTAGCCACTTTGTCGCTATTTTTAGTGAGTTTTCAGACCCTTCTAGCTACACATTTTCAAAAAAGCGGCTAGCGACAAATCTAGCGACTTTTTCTGGTGTTATTGGAGACTTTTGACGTGACAGCACGTATTGTTCTTACTCTTCTCAGCAAGCAGAGGGTGCTGCCGTGGGCCCCACCCTGTCCCAAAGCACTCACTGGCGGCCCAGTCCTTGCGCAGTAGTCCGCCCCCCCCCAGCTGCAGTCAGAGCAGATGTTCACCCCTCCAGACTGCAAATGAATTGCGCATGCGGGTAGCCGCCGCTGGCTGATCCCGCCCTGGCTTACATTCAGGGCGGGATGTAAATGTGAAATGTTTTTTGTCTAATGGACAAACCTTAGTCATTTTACATGCAAATATAGCCAAAATCACAGCACAGCCAACATGAAAAAATACTATAGTAATTTATAGTAAATAGTAGTGTTTTTGATCCATACTATAGTAAAGTACTTGGATTATTTTTTTGTGGTAATTCTATAGCTTCTGTGGTAATATAACAACTATAGTAATATAAACAAATTACTTCACCGAATACTGTACTACGTTTTCTACAACTATAGGCTATATTACACTACAATATACTACAGTTTACTGTAGTAAAAACTAAAGTATACTACAGTATTTATTACAGTTTATCAGTTCCCTTTCATGGGAACTTCGAACTGCATCCTCTAGGGGTCGCTATGGGGAACGCCTCGTCATGACCCGTGTCTGAAGCATACATTGAAAAAACACCAACAACATGTTGGCCGGCGACAGCCATGACATCACTACCGGTGCAACTATAGTATAAATAGGCACCGGGAGAACACATCATCCTCTTCTTCGTCTTCATTGACTGTTTTGTTTGAAGCGTGCATTTCTGTGGTAAGAGCGATCTCTTTTCATATCATTATGGTGAGCACTAGCAAAGCGTTTAGAGTGCATCCGTGTTGTCGTTGTTTAACATCTGATGACACACACGATCTATGCGTTGTTTGTTTGGGCGAAGAGCATGCATGCGATGTCTCTGAGGGGACAATCAGCGTGCACCGCGAGTGTTTTTTTTTCAAGGAAAAAGCTCCGCTCTCGTTTGTCTCTATTTTCGAGGAAAGAAGGGCAGCCATCTGATTCCTCGCGATTCAGGATCCGCCGCTGCTGAGGCACGGAGGAGAATGAA